GACCCACTGGCTGTGAACATTCTAAACTAACACGAGTCTCATTAAGTGTCCAGTTTAAGGGTATTACACAGAAACATACCAATGGAACATGAATTAGATATGAACTTTTATTCATTTACAATAAACTCATAAAGTACATCATTCTGATTGAAGTTAAGGGCATACAAAACTGTCTAACACCTATGTTGTTGGTTCTACAAGGGTATCAATTTAGGTTGCAAGCAAGTATAGGTGGGAATAGACTAGCAAGGAACAAGGATAGGTTCTAGTGATGCAACATGTGATGTGCTCATACAAATTTTAAAGTGCGGGCAAAAACAACGGAAAACCATGAAAAACCTAACCTTCCCCTAGTATGCACCTAGCGTTATCGAGCCTACTATGGGGAGGGCGTGCAGCTGTCAAAGATCCCATTGTAGAGTCTGAGCAGCAACCAATGAACATTCTAGAAGACCCTATTATTAGGAGTGACCAAGTGGAGGCGGATACCTCACCTAACTTAAGGCAAGAGTAGGTGTTGATTGCTGGAACATATGGTGGTTGATGGTTGCAGCAAGGATTCAGGGGTCACTGTAGATGTTTAGCTAATAGTAATGGACGTATAGGATGAGTTTGTTGGTAATGTAGAGCTCTTGGTAGAGCTTGTTGTGGTGTAGCACGAATTGATAGAATGCTATGAGAGAGAGGAGATAGTTTCGCTCAGATTTGCAATGTCAGACCCTATTTCTATGCAAGGTATTCATAGAAGGAAAAGTTCATTGTCTCCCAAAGTGTTGCAGAGACTGTGTCACTGATTATCTAGAAAGGTTGGTTGTTGTCTATTGAGCTTCCCCCTATAGTCATTAGCACGTCTTTGAACACCTTTGCTGGATTGATGAATTCCATAATGTTATAGTCTGTGAACTCACTCTCATGGTTTATTTTCGCACGATGGTTGAAGACTTGCATTTCCTTCGCCACGGTGGGCTTCAAGATGGAATGAATTCAAGAGCAGGTGATTCATATAGCTCATGTGTTCTGGAAGACTAGTCATAAGAATTGCAACCCATTATCTTCCAAGGACCCGGGTGACCTTTGCAAGCGGTTGAGGCAAGTGGAGTACTCTAGATGGTGCGCACCGTCCTCTCTACGCACCTTCATAACTGGCTAAATGTGTCAACCTCCACATTCTCAATGCCTATTCTATAGGCAGGTTGCATCCCCTGTACACACTATTCGATGAAGCTCTTTTTCGTGGCATGCTCGTAAAAAACGGAATGGGCTAACTTCTGAAACCTCATGACATAGGTCAGGAGGTCCTCCTCTGCATGCTGCTCCATATTGCACAGATCAGCCATCATCATTCTCTTTCCAAGGTGAACCATTTTGACAAAAACTTCTTGGCTAACTCTACCCATGAATCGATGCTGCCTACGGTGAGGTTCACGAACCAAGTGTATGTTGGCCCCGTTAAAGACTTAGAGAACTCTAGGACTTTCAAAATCTCCATCTAGAGTGAAAGACCCCAAGACATCTTCAAAATTATTCACGTGTTCCTAGGGGCTTCCCTTCTATCCATCATACAGTGGCCATTTCTGAGGAGGTACATAGCCGACAAGGTAGGGCTTGTAGAGGATTCGGTATGAATAGGGGTTTTATAGGACAATTGACATATGGGCCTAGTTTTGACTTTCCACCATCAGCCCTTAGACGTATTCTTTCAGTTCGTCCTAGCTAAGTAGTGTTACCGTTATCGGGTCCGCTTGGGGAAGGGCTCGGGACTGCCCTATGGTGGGTTGGTCAACTTGCACGGGTATCGAGTTAACCTTGGTAGGTTACTCCAGTATACTAGGGTTTGGGTTGGAGGCGTGATGGCTGGCAGGGACGGATGTAGGGGCGGCGACCGGGGTGAAAGGAGAGTGCTCGACCGGTTGGATTATTGGAGAAGGATTTGTAGGGTGGCCCTTGTCTTGGCTTGCATATGCTCAATTAGGTCGAACCGAGCTTCAAACTCATAGACTTTATTTGATAGAATCTCAATGTTGACTTGGTCAACCATCTCTGTCTCATACTGATTCCCCATCTCTGGGTTGATATTTTGTGGGATGTTGTCGTGTTCTTCGAGAATAGGTGAGAGGTTGATCCTACAGGTGGCCATCCTTCGTGATTAAGGATGAACTAGATATTCTAATGTAAGTGCTATGGTTAGGCTACATATGGGGGTCTCCTTGAAAGACGAAGGAAAACCAAATGCAAGAGGTAGGTTTGGAGGCTAGGGCAAATGGAATTGATAAGACGGCTGAATAGAATGATTGAATGATGATTTCATTATGGGATGGACCCTCATTTATAAGGAGGGATCCCAAGGTCCTGAAAGGAAGGAGCCAAAAGTGTTTGATTCCCACTAGGAAAGGGAATATTGGGTTTGTTGTCGGTCATTAAGGAGCACTTCTAGGGTTTCTCCACACATCCTATGAGATCTCTCAAAGACGAACTTTCCTTTTCACACGCGTAATTTAAAGTTGCACGTATAGCCAATATTTATTTCCAGTTCACAATAACCCCACAATTCTGTAAAATTCTCGGGTTCATCGCAAAACCATGTGTATCCAAAGTTTATCGCAGAATTGCGCATGTATAAAGTTCATCGCGAGTTCACTAGCCAAAGTTTATCCTGACTTGTGTTGAGTATGAGGGTCTGTTTGGTTCAAGGGAATAGGAGACTGGAAGCATAATCGGAATGGCAAATTCCTATTCCAAGTGTTTGGTTGATCGGAATGGAAATCCCATTCCCATTCTAGGTGGAATGGAAATCCCATTCCCACTCGTGGTGGAATGGGAATCCCTCATATTGGGGAATGGCCATTCCCGACCGCTCCTCAAGGAATGTGATTCCCATTGTGGTTTATGATTTCCTCCTTAGTTTTTGGACAAGAATACCCCCTCATTTTCAACCATCCAGTCAAAGAGAATTGTCATCGAATAGAGATTCCAAGAAGAACTTCAAGCCAATCTTCCATCGTCGAATAGAGAGCCAAACCAGTCTGGAGATTAAAATGCAAATGGCACCCCTGTAAATGCTAAGGCCACAAAGACAAGTAAAGATACTAAAGCACCAGAGAAAATGGAAGGAATAGGTTCTAGTTTAGAACATAAATCTCCTACCTCTGAATCTGTCAAGAGGAAAGGAGGAGAGTAACTAAACATACAGCATTTTCTGATTCAGATGATGAAAAGGAGCCCTCTTTTGATGATTTGGTAAAACTTGTTGCCGAGAAGGAAGAACACTTGAAGGTGAAGCACAAGGAGATTGAGAAAATGCAAGATAAAGTTCTCCGTACTTATGTAGAAATGGAAACTGTAATGGATAGAACAAAACGTGAAGCAGAGAACTCAAAAAAAATTGCTATACAAGTTGGTGGCTTCTTTTTACCTCTACATGGCTAATGATCTTTCAAAGGGCACTATGGATTTCTCTATCAGAATATTTGGCTATGTCTATGTAGTATATTTAAGCTCTAATGGTGGTCTTTATATGAAATGTACTGCAGAGCTTTGCAAAGAGCCTTTTAGATGTTGTAAACAACCGTGGAAGGGCATCCTCAGTCGTCAAAGATAGCTTCTCAAAGATTTATGCATCCAAAGACACTGTTGGAGCTGTACCACTTCTAAAAACACTTCTGGAAGGTATTGAGATGACTGATAAGCAACTTGTAGAGGTAAGATATTTACCCTATCAAAATCCACTCCTGCTTTTCTTTCCCCCTTTCTCTTTTGGGCCCTTTATCCCCTTATTATCTCAAGTAAGCGTGATCCAATTTTGAGTTTGCAAGATTTGTATGGTGTACTACTAGTTTGGTGGAATCTTACCTAGAAGACCTAGGAGTAGGAAGGTTGTCTGAAATAGGCTTCCCCTATGTCTGAATGAGGCTTTTAGTCTACCTTGGAAAAACAAGGGGTGAATAGGGATCAATTGCAATGGGGTCTTGAAAGTTAGTAAGGAATGTTATATTTTTCACTGTTACCCACCCAAAAAATAGTGTAGGTATCATACACAACATGAATCAATCGCTTTAAGGTATTGTAACATTTTTTATGGTTTAATGGTAATGGTTCACTAGAGAACAAGACCTTAGATCACCAAATGGATAACATAAATAATTTTGCAACATTTGAACTATTGCTATCTCCTTGGTCAACTGTGCTTATGATAACCAGACTCCTCAATTGTCCATAAATAATTTTGCAACATTTGAACTATTGCTTTCTCCTTGGTTAATTGTGCTTATGATAACCTGACTCCTTACTTTACCTACCTGACATGATATTGAATCCCCAAACTTCTGCCTTTTTTTGTTTTTGTTTTCATTGCCAGAGTTTGATGGATCTGGATTTTGTTCTACTTAATGGGACACAAATTAAACATAAATTATTAAACGATGCATTACACTTTTATAATGCCCAAGCAAGAATGCCTCTTAAACCTCATAAAACGTAGATTTCCTATACATCATTATGCTTTTGCATTTAGTTATTATGTTGCAAGCGGATTTGTTTGCTTTGTTTTATCCTTAACATTTCCCTTTTTGGATCTGCATTTATTTGCATTTAGCTAAGTCCTTGTATTCCATGATTTTGGGGTCAAATGGATGATGGATCTGACTTCAAGGAATATACCTGCACTAGAATCCATGTAACCTCTTGCACCTTTATGTTATCTATCATGATAGAACTCAACCATGAGTGGACAAACACAGCAGAAATTTCAACTAGTAACCTCACACTTATCTCCTCTGTATGGACTGTTTCTGTTTAATAATTAAGGTTACTTCATTCATACACATGTATTACTATTAGCCAATTCTTGTCCTAGTAAAGGATTTGGATGTAGCATGGATTAGTATACATTGATCATGTTTTATTATCATTCATCACAAGTTTTTAAATATTTTTTTCCACAACTTTGATCTTGGCATATTTTAGCCTAATATTCTTTTGGAATATTTGGTGAAACTCCTAACTGGTGCTACTAATACCCTTTGTTGCAATCAATAATTAGTTTTGTTGAGATAATTTTCTTGTCTAAAACGTATTCTTTCATTATTTAAACATATTAATGCAATAAATAATTAAATGGATTTGTGTTTTCACCATGGACTCATGGCAGTTGGTCAATTCTCCAAAAATCAGGAGATGGTGATGGGAAAGAGAGAGAAAGGGCGTGGTGAAGAGGGAGGAAGAGAAGAAAGAAGGGAGAATCCCCCTCTGTGAGAAACCCTAAGTCCAAGTTATTATGTTGTTTGCCCTGGGGAAGAATTGCTCTCCCCCTTTTATAGAGAGAAAGTTAAGGTTATCAAGGGAAAAGTTCTTTCCTATTAGGAAATGAGATCTTTCCTTTTGTTTAACTATTAAGGGATCATTATTAGAGAATCCGGTCCCTTCCGGATTCTCTCCGTATGTGACCCTATTATACTGATGTGGCATGGGTGACATCATCATTTAGATAGCGAACTTTCATTAAATCCGCATGCGTAATTTAAAGACGTATGCCTAACCAGCATTTATTCACGAGCTACTGTGATTCCGCAGTTCTATAATGGTGTCGGGTTCATTGCAACTCCACGTGTTTTTAGAGTTCATCGCGAATCCATGCATGTTCGGGGTTCATCGCAAATCCGTATGCGTCTTATAGGTCATCATAGATTTGTGCGTGTCTAAGCTTTATCGCAGATTCATGCTAGATGAATTTCATCGCAACCTGTCCCGGGTATGAGTTCATCATAGATTTGCGATGAGCTATGAATTCATCGCAAATGTGCGATGGGTTATGAATTCATCGCAGAAGTCCGTGTAGTATTGGTTCAACGCCTTCTGTACTCTGATTGTCTTTAGTGACCACTATGTACCTACATTAGCCCCTACTTATCAGTAAGAGGGAACTTACTGATAAGCATTTTGTCATTGTGTTTGCTTCGGGGTTTTATGATGGGGCGATGAGGTAGAGAATCGTAGATGTTGTGGCATCCTAATCTTTTCGCATTAGGTCTGGTGATCGCTCCTGTTCTTGGTGAGATGCTTTGCATGTGGAAAATTTTGGGTATGTTTGATAGCCCCCCTGCCCTATCAATAAGCATTGTGGTACTTGACTTAGTAATGTTCTCGAATGGAAATCGAGAGTTTTCATTTTGTGATTCAGTTCCCCTATCTTTTTGACAGGGTGTCGTGTTGACTTGTATTTGCTTTCTAGGTCATCGAAGCTGTTTTGAAGGTGTAAGTGACGGGAACATCATAGGTGCATTTTGTAAGGTATAGCTTAATACTTTCTGTATTTTAGCCCCCTTGTTTCTTGATAGAACTCATCAAGGGACAAGTGAAATGAATAGTTGGCTACTTTAATGTTCAACCCCCCTGTATCTTGATAGGATGTCTTCTATTGAGAAACGCTTAAGCTAGGTGGTGGTCAGATACGAAGTGAATGCAAAGGATTTGATGGACCTCGAGACGCGTAGGCAAGGCTTTAAAAAATATAGTTAATATGAAGAAGGATTGGACTTCTATGTGGACACCCGTATTTACTCATTTTGTAAATCCCATTTGTGAATAAATGAAATTTTTGTCTTATGCTAGTGTCCAAGTGCTTTGACTTATTTTGCACTAGTAGTGCCTATATTGAAGTGCCAGTGGGCTATCGGCCTTGGTGTATTATGTTTGGGTTCTGACGCATAGTGAATTTAAACGTAGAGGAAAGCTTTCTCATTATATTAGAGCTCCATATGAAAGAGCCTTCGCAATCACTCGCCCAGAATATTCGATCTTGTAATAAAACTTTATTGCATATTAGTTTGTAGGAAAGAATCTGAATCAAAGTTGTAGGTAATGCGGCTTGGAAAGTCGTGTGGTCTGTGAATTTTTATCGCAACTTGTATCAGCGCAAAATGTCGAATTGTAATCAAATCATTTAAAGTTTGTTGTTTTGTGCGCTCCATCACAAATAAGTACTTTTCATAAGTATTCTAGAAATTAATCGCAATCGAGCACCATTGCGAGTGTAATTAGCCTTTAATTGCGAACTACTATAGAAAAGGAAATCGTGTGTGCCCCCTTAGTTTAGAGGCTCAGCGCAAGCGTTAAACATTGTTGAGAACAAAGAAAGTTGCAAGTATTCACTTACACTAGAAGGGACTTTGCAAGTTTTTAGGTAACATCGGAAATAATAGATTTTAAGTATTTGTGTTAGACACCTGTTGGAGTATCTCGATCAAGCAATAGCGCAGGCATGGTGAAGTTTATCGCATATTGTTTAAAGAAAGAAAGAAAGAAAGCGAACAGGTGTGAAAGAGTTATCCCAAATACTATGTAAACAAGCAGATAATTAACATGTTCATAGAGAGGGAAGTTGGATTACTTTGTAAGGAAATGCAATTTTGTTATCCATGCAAGGGTTGAGGGTTGTCGTGTCTTGAGACGGTGAGGCCCTTCATGGGCAATATAGTTAGGGTTCGTCCAATGCAAATAATTAGCATAAGTTAGAGTTTCATCGCAACCACGTCAACTAGCCCTAATGGTTAATTATGAGCTTCAGACCTCTATTGCCTTTGCGATAAGCTTTTGGTCATCGCTAGAGAAAACTAGTTGAGCTCTTTTAGATCAAGTAAGATATCAATAGTCAAAATAAGTCGTTGCTCCTAACAAAGCATTATAGTCTACGCGTGAGATCAAGGTTTAAAGTATCGGAAACGTAAGGTGTATTGGAAAAATAATTTTAAGAAATGTATTGGGATACACTTTGGATACGTATAGATACAGACGAAAAATCAAGATATGCATAAATATGCTAAAAAACTCAAATAAATCCTAAGTTTTATATGATTGTAAATAAATTACTTAAAAGTAAAAAAACTGTAATTTAATTCTCTATATAAAATTCAAGATAACGGGACACACTTAGTAACTATTGACAAATGATGAAATAACTAAAACGTGAAAAAACAAAAAAAAACTAAAATGTATATTGATACATATTAGTTTTAAAACAATCAATATAGTTTATCTTTATATTTATTAATACATAAATTTTAAAAATTAATTCTAACATTTATTGATAAGCATAACTAAGAAAAAGAGAAAAATTATTTAAAATTAAAAATGCATAAACCTATAACAAGCAAATGGGTGTGGCTTAGTGGTGAACCTCTAGTTGTTAAAGCGTAATGTCTAAGGTTCGAATCTTGCTATTGCTAAGTTTGAAGTTTTATACTAACAAAACGAATTTAATGAGAAAGTGGGTTATTAATTAACAAAACTAATGAGAAGAGAATTCCAATTAGGCGTTAAAATTGAAATTCAAATTTAAAATTATGCATTAATTACAGGAGTAATTAACTAATTAATGAGAGGTAATTCGACCCTAAATATAATTTAATGAAATTAATGAGAGAGAAGGGAACTTGTATTAGGCTCTATCAGAGTGTTTCGGAATTGTATCGCTCGATACAGACTCGAAACAGGACTATTTCGGAACTGTATCAGCCGATACAAACCCGAAATAGTCTGATACAAGGCCTGATATAGACTGATACATATGAAAAGGAACGTTGCAAATAATTTTTATGCGTTCCATGTATTGGATTTATACCGGAACGATATGTATCGGTCATCCGATATGTTGCGAAATTTTGAACCATGCATGAGATGGCTTAACTTTGTTCTTACTTAGACCGTTGCATTTACAAGTAGGTAAATATTTTGCATTTATAGGTTGGAATATGAATGTAAGTGCTCCTGGGGTTGCCAAGGAATGTAAGTGCTCCTAGGGTTGCCAGGGAATATGAATGCGCCTAGGGTTGCTAGAGCCTTCCCGAGGTTGCTGAGGAATCTGAGAGCAATCCTGGGGTTGCCAGGAGATATGAGCACGCCAGAGGTTGCCAGGGAATATGAGCACGCCAGAGGTTGCCAGGGAATATGAGCGCGCCTGGGGTTGTCAGGGCTTGGTGTGTCCGAAAGCGCGTCGTTAAACACTTTGGAACACTAGTTTAAACATTTATAATTTTTCCTGTTTCTCAAACAACTACTAACGTAGTAAATGGGTGAGAACGGGTCGTATCCATAGGGAAGCAAGTGAAAAATTAATATATAGTTAGATCCAGACAAAAGAATGCAATCGAGAATTGCAGAAAATAAGAAAATAGAATCTATTATTGCTGAAATTAAAAATTCGGAATTAAAAAAGACAATAACTAAAACTCAAAAATTAATAGAGTACTGAAATTAACAAAAGAAATAAATAAAAATGATCCAGAATCTGGATCCGGTTGCGGTAGCTGCAGATCGGCCAGACAGCTTGCAAAAATTCCTCTTGACAAGAACCGGGCGTCTGTCCTTTCTACAACCCTCGAACCCCTCGAGATACCTTAGCCTTGAACCGAATGAATTCATATCTGCAAAATAGAGAAACAAAAAAAGAATTAAATCTAAAGATTGCAAAAATAAAAATAACAGAAAAGAAAATAGTGGATGATCAAATCCAGTGGCGGTAGTTGCAGATTGGTTGAATAGCTTGCAGGAAGCCCTCCTGACAAGAATCAGGCATCATCCCCTTCTACATCCCTTGAACTCCTCAAAAAACCTTAACCTTGTTAACTAGGTGAATTGACCAACCCCTTCTACAGGCCCCCTGGGGTCCTTTTTATAGAGAATGGTGGACACAACTAGGAATAGAGAGAAAGAGGGGGGCGGCAGCTGGGTTTTAGCAAAAATATGGATGCCTTAGGGTTTAGAATGAAGGGTTAGGATGGTTCTAGGGTGATCATAAGGCTTAGAAAAAAAGGGGAAGGCACCCAATATTATGTAAGCTTGAGATTTAATGGCTAAAGGTTGAATGGTGAAGATTAGAGGTTAGGTGGCTCCTAGGGTTAGAATGCTAAAAAGGGAGTGCCCTAGAATGGATGGTAAAGATCAGAAGGGATGTGGCTAGGGCTTGTTAAGAGTGAAAAGAATGGGTTAAAAGGCGCCTTAGGGTTTGCTAAGGCATGGGGAGCATGGTAATACAGTAGGAGGGGTGTCAAACTGGGTTTAGCAGCTAGAAGGCGCCCTCCTACTTTTAGTTTTTCACAAAAACACCCCCTCTCTCAGCTGGACTTCACACCAGCTTCCCAAAATCTGCATTTCAGCCATGAAAACTTCCTAGTTTTCCCCAGAATTTGCACAGAGACCCTTAGAGACCACAACATTGCATTTAACTGGGAAAAATGCACATCTTGACTATTCTAACGCCGAAAATACCCCTGAATTGATGTCGTTAAGGCATCAAAATGCAGAGTTATCAGGGCCTTCCCGGGGTTGCTGAGGAATCTGAGTGCGCCTGGGGTTGCTAGGGAATGTGAGCGCGCCTGGGGTTGCCAGGGCCTTCCCAGGGTTGCTAGGGAATCTGAATGCATCTGGGGTTATCAGGGCCTTCTTGGGGTTGCCAGGGAATGTGAGTGCGCCTAGGGTTGCTAGGGCCTTTCCGAGGTTGCTAAGGAATCTGAGAGCAATCCTGGGGTTGCCAGGGGATATGAGTGCACCTAGGGTAGCCAGGGCCTTCCCGAGGTTGCCGAGGAATGTGAACACGCCTGGGGTTGCCATGGCCTTCCCGGGGTTACCGGGGAATCTGAGTGCAATCCTAGGGTTGCCAGGAGATATGAGCATATATGTAGATGTATATATTTATATATATAATAAGCATGATAAAGATTCATCGCACAAATCAAAATATATCTATTCACAATAGTTATAATATATTATTCAGAACATATAAGTGTATCATAACTTCATCAAAAGACTAAAAATACATCGCAAGATATGTAATGAATGCGTAAAAACTCCTTTCAAAAATTTTCTAACCTAACTCAAAGTCTTCTTTTTATCGTAAAAGGAAAACCATGTTTTAAAACCATGCTTTTGAGAAGCAATGATAAAATTTCGGGGTTAGATGTTAGCATATCTTACATGTCTTAGAAAATGGTGTTGAAAGCATGTTTTTGGAGATAACAATTTGAATGGGAAAACCTTACTGGAATAGTGTATTGTAATAAAAGTGTGCTTTTGGGATATAACTGTCTATCCTAAAATACCGTTTTCAAATAGCGTGCTTTGAAGGTTATCTAGAAAACGATCTCTTGTGAAAACTTAGGGGTAAAGCCTAAATCATGCAGTTTCAAAGGAATGGTTTCAAATCTAGAAAACAAGTTATGAAAGAAAATGAAATTCCCTACTACAACAATCCACCAAAAGCAA